AATATATATAACTGGAAATAATATGATTTTCTTTCAGTCCCGGAAATCCGCGGATCCGCATGATTGATGACCTCGATCCCGCAATTTTTATGCGGGATTGGATTCCCTAGTTACAATCTACTAGTTAATATTGTAGATATGAATATTTTCTCAGCCACAATTAATAAAATTTAATTAAGCAAAAAAACATAAAATTAAAGCTCGTTAAAAATTTTTTAAATAAATATGTATTTTGTATGTTACAAAATATATACATTGGGGTGGTCCTTAAAATCAAATGAGCTTTTTTCAGTTTCCCTTCAATCGGTAATACCACGGTCACAGGTATCACATACAGATTTTGGTCCCCGGTTAAGGCGTGTCGCACAGGGGCCAATGATCAGATTCTTCTATAGAGACTCAAAAAATTAAAACTAACTCTTTTGCCAACTCAAACGGTTAAGGCGTGTCGCAAATATTTTTTCATTTAATACCCAAAATCGATACAACTAAAGTCGGAGGTATCACATAAAAATTTTGGTCCCGATTGGAGTCGATTAAGACGCCTTCATAGGGTAGTCTGAATTAAGATCCCTGTACGACACGCCTTAATCGACTTCAATCGGGACCAAAATTTATATGTGATATCTTCGACTATAGTACTATCGATTTTAGGTTTTAGACACAAAAAAAGTTAATTTAAATTTTTTGAGTCTCCATAGAGGAATCTGAACTTTGCCCCCTGTGCGACACGCCTTAACCGTCTCCAATAGGGACCAAAATTTATATGTGATATCTTCGATATCGATAGCATCGATATAGGGGTTGAGGCATAGGAAATATGATGTAAAAATTTGCTTTCCACATTTAAGGGCCACCCTAATGTACATGTGTATGTATGTCGCACATTTCCGTCTTTCTGGAATTTCCCCCTATAAGTTTCACTTCTTCCGCGCGTAGGGACTACACGCACTGAGTGTTTTTTAGTCCATTTATAGGCACATGGTATATTTTTTTTATTTGATTTTTTTTCTTTTAACTTAGAAAAATAAATGTATAAAAAAATCAACGTCATCATTATTTTTTTTTCAGATAGCCCAAATTTTTGTCACGGATTCGGAAAGAACGGGAAATTCTGCGCGAGGGATCCACTTTACGTTTAGAAAGAATTCCTAATAATTTAATATACACATTAGCAAATATATAAATAAATCGTCGTTGAATGTACAAAACCGCGTATCGTCATTCTGCAAAACCGCGTAACTGACATTGGCTGCCAAAAATTGGATTTGCTCACATAAGCTCTTGGCTCAATCCTTATCCATTCGTCCTAAAATATAATAGCCAGAAATGCGATTGTTTTATAAAAAATTAAACCATTTTGAAATATGAGTGTTTTTACTTTCTAGAAAATAATTTATGCAACCTCACATACGAGGTTTTGCATTATCTTGATACGCGGTTTTGCATTGTGTTGATACGTGAAATGTATACATGTTTCGCCCATATAATCTTATACTATATATAACTTAGTACTCACCGATCTTCTTGTTATAATCTTGTCGGCCTCTGCATCTGCATTCGCTACAAAGACAAAAGAAAAATGAATTAAAAATCGTGATTATTAACGAGAAGTATTAGCCTAAGTAAAGGTAAATAAGTAGAAAAGTCTGTCTGTAGAATCACACATTTCGATGTGTCTATATGTATATTGGCGAATTATTTTTATGTTAATCCGTTTTCAATTTCCCTGCGGTGTTTGAAATTAATTCTGACTAAATGGAAATCGCATTAGGGCAGCCGTCTCATGGAAGGCAGAGATGATTACATTAAAATTGAAACATTATTGAATTTCATTTGATTAAAGCTGACAAGTCATAAACGTACAAAGCGTAAGCACAATCGCTGCAGAAGAATATGTGTGTACGTAAGTATGTATCTAAGTATATGGGTATCAGAGTATATACATACGTATAAAAGTGTAGCCATGAAAGTGAATATTTGAATGCGGAGCAATGCTATTTAAAAATATTGCAATAAAATTTTTACTATGCGCCCCCATCGCTGCAATGATTTTGCATTGACATTACAAGAAAATGTCCGCTGTGCAGCCAACTGAAAATTTGCAAACAACCATCAGCTCGGCGCCGACAAGACAAGCACAGTGGAAGCGGATTTGCATTGCCGAGATTTGTGCGTACTATTGTTAAATGTGCATGTGTATGTATATGTCTTTAGATACACCCCTGCAGAAAATTAAACTGTTTCAGAATTCGTGCCGTGCTAGCTCTATTTCAACATGGCGCTGTCGTTAGAATAGGCAATTGCGCCCTCTGCAGAACTTCTCAGCTCGGTCTGAACTGCTATTTTTGTCAGATCTTAGACAATACGTTTTTATGAAAAACAAAATTTTCAAGATTTGTTTTTTTGGATATTTTGAAGTAGTTTGCTCAAATGTTGTAGTTGTAATTGGAGCTTCACAAAAACGCTTAGTGCGCGAGAAGTACTGAATAGAGGCGGAAAAATGTCGACGATACCATAGATAATTTGTGCTTTCCAAAAAAACTATCAATGTTTTCTGACTTTCTAAGGTATCGGATAGGTAGGACCACCACATAAATAACATATAGAATACGCATCCAAGCGAGTTCGCTGCCTAGACCCTCAGCGTTGCGGCTAAAACTAGCCCGAAAAAACTTGTTTTGAAGCGATTAGGAAATGCACCAACAAAATTTCCAAATAAATGCAATAATTTTTTTGCGTAGCCAGTACTATCGATAGTTTTCCACCTCTCTAATAATGAAGCGATTTCAAAGGAAGCGGCTAATTTTCAAAGAAAAAATCCCTCTACCAACAGATTTATTCCTATAAGTGATAAGTTCGTTTTATGTCGTGGAAATAAAGATAAATATTGCAGATATTTCATTTTCGGATTACGACAAAAAGGATTCAAAAGGTGTGCTTGTGAATTTTATGTATTTCGACTATTGAATGACAGTAAAATATTTATAAACTGATCATAGCATATATATCTATATACATATAATATTTCCGATCATTCGATCATGAAGAAATTAACGGTACTCTAAAATGTTTACCTATATGAGCATCGAAGTCCGTTGTATTTTTTGCCTGAAAATTGTTTCTTTTACAGATTTGTTTTTTTTTTTCGTAGGAGAGGGAAATGCTTTATGCACTGGCCGGGGGCGCTAGTCTCTATACTACCTTCCCCGAGTATGGGACTCCCACGTGTTGGGCTACCCACTAAAACCCAAACTCCCGCCGCCCGCGCAAGAATCCCGCATCTGGCACCGCAATTCTGCATGTCTTCAGATGCAGGAGCGCGCTGTTAGAGCCTTGGGGCTGCTCTTTTGTAGGGGCGTTTCATTCGGGTGTCCTCAGTAGACAACCGTCCTCTAGTTTGCAGCGGAGTACGAATTTCACGTATCTCGCAACTGCTTCCCACTTTTCTGCGCTGGAAATCATTATCCCAACTATGTTGTTCGGAGTTATGTCTCCGTGTCTTTCTTCCACCATTCTGCGCGAAATCAAGAAGTGTTCGCAGGTGAAGAATGTGTGGTACACGTTATCTTCGACGTTTCCACCGTAGTGACAGAACGGTGAGTCCACCCTTCCCATTCTATGAAGATATTCTCGGAAGTAACCATGACCGGTGAGGAATTGCGTCAGGTAGAAATCGACTTCCCCATGTGGTGTGTTCAGCCATCGTTGAAGGTCGGCTATCAGGGAGTGTGTCCATCGACCTTTTGTGCTCGCGTTCCAGTTTTGTTGCCACTGCTGGATCAGTTGCTCTCGCGCCCTAGCCGCGGCAGCTGCTCGACCTATCTCGGCACTGAGATTGTAAATCTCTTTTCGCTCGTAAGCAAGTAGCTCAATTGGTATGACGCCAGAAATAACTAGAACCGCGTCCGCGGACACTGTACGGTATGCAGAAGCAATGCGTAGTGCCCCTCTGCGCTGTACCGAAGACATTTGAATCCGGTATTTTTTGACTTTCAATGCGTCAGCCCATATTTCTGCCCCGTACAGGAGCACCGATTGGACCGCTGTCATCAGAAGCTTCCTGCGGCATGGCTTCGGGCCGCCTACGTTCGCCATCAGCCGGCTTAGAGCCGCCGTGCTCTGCGCAGCTTTTTCACATACTCCATGGATGTGTTCCCAGAATGTGAGTTTGCTGTCAAGCTTCACCCCTAGGTATTTTGTAGACCTAGAAGTCGTCACGAGTTGAGGTCCGACCATTATATTTATAATTGTTGGGATCCGTTTCCTGGTGAGGAGCACGATCTCCGTTTTGGCTGTAGCCAATTGCAGACCGTGATCGCTCATCCATCCACTGTCGTTGCGCATGACCTGGTTTAGCTTGAGCTGTGCTAGCTGGACATTTCTTGCTGTTATGACGGCTGCCACGTCGTCCGCGAAGGCGACAAGGAAGGCGCTCTCCGGCATTTCCGTGCGCAACAGACTGTCATACGTGGCGTTCCAGAGGTCCGGGCCAAGTACAGACCCCTGTGCCGCTCCGCCGGTTATACGTCTCTTTCTCTGACCTTGTGTTGTGTCGTACAAAAGCCAACGGTCTCTGAGGTAGTCCCGGATCATATCTAGCAAGTATGTTGGAACCTTGAATGACCGTTCCAAGGCCTCCAGCATATCGTCCCATCTTGCCGAGTTGAAGGCGTTCTTGACGTCCAGTGTGACTAGCAGCACTATTGGCCGCGCCTGGTGGC